TTTTCACTTACATCTGGGCCTATTGGGTCTCTGTCTATATTGGAGAAACCAGGGGTATTGAATCAGAGGGAGGAGACTTCTGTTCAAAGTCTGCACCCTCCCAAACTGTCTCAAACCAAGACACTGTTCCAATGCTTAACCACCCTTTCAGTGAAGAAATTCTTCCTGGTATCCAACCTGAATTTCCTCCATTGCAACTTGAGGCCATTTCACCTTGTCCTGTCACTGGTTGCCTGGGAGAAGAGGCCAACTCCCACCTAACCACAACCTCCTTTCAGGTAGTTGGAGAGAGAGAGAAGCTCTACCCTGAGCCCCCTTTTCTCCAGACTGAACAACTCTAGCACCCTCAGCTGCTCCTTGTAGGACTTACATTCCTTCCCCAGTTCTGTAGCTCTTCTCTGGGCACACTCCAGCACCTCAATTCCTTCTGTGTGGAACTGGACAGAGTATTCGAGATGCAGCCTCACCAGTGCTGAGTACAGGGGGACAATCACTTCCCTGGTCCTGCTGGCCACACAATTTCTGATCCCACCAAAACCACATTACCTTGCTGGCAAGCCCCAGCCTTCATTCCCATCTGCCCTGCTCAGCAGGTTCTGGGCACCATCACCTTAAGCACAAAGTCACCCAGCAGGAGTAAGTTCCCAGGGCTCTCTTGACAAAGCAGGCAGACGCCCCCCAAAACTATAACTGAAACGAAAACAGGGCTGTAGATGCAGGTCTCTGACTTATCTGGAGAGGTGCAAAGTTTTCTGGGCCAGGTGATCTGACTCCCAGTTGCCTTGAAAAGGAGAGCTACCTGCCCCTGGGAAGAGACAAAACTCCTCTTCCCTCTTCTCCTCTTGGATTCCATCTGCTGGGGCAGGACTTAGCCCTCCAAACTCTGACAATCAAACCAAATGCCAACTCTGTCCCTGGCACAAGTGGGAAAGATCCTGCAGCTCCTGCCTCTGATGAACAACTTGCCCACTGCAATGCAAGTGAGAGGACTGGGGAGGCCATTCTGGGGCACCTGTCTCAACACTCCCCTGAGGTTTCCCCCCAGTTCAGAAGAGCCCACTGCACAGCACACTGGAGCACTCTACTGCGGATCATGCCTCCCAGAAACACAGCCTGTACTGCACGAGGTGTCTGGGTCTCAAAGCATGTCCTCAAGCTTTCCTTAGCCTTGCTGAATATGTGCCGGGACTGATATGGTTGACATACTTCTGTCATTTGGCATATGCAGAACCAATGTGCCTTCTTGCTGAAGCCTTCCGGAGGCAAAAAGAGGGAGCAGCAGGTAGATGCATGCCCTGACATCTCTTTCTGTGTTAAGTCTCTCTTGTCAAAGTGGTGGGGACCTGAGCAGAGGGAACACAAAACCATAAAACCATTTAGGTTGGAAAAGACCCTTGAGATCAAGTCCAGCTGCCCAGCACTGCCAAAGCCACCACTAAACCATGTCCCTAAGTGCCACATCTACATGTCTTTTAAATCCCTCCAGAGATGGTGACTCCCCCACTGCCCTGGGCAGCCTGTTCCAATGCTTGGCTACCCTTTCAGTGAAGAAAGTTTTCCTTTAAGCCAATTCTACACCTCCTTTTGGGCCATTTGAGGCTATTTGCACTTGTCCTATTGCTTGTTTCTTGAGAGAAGAGACCAACCCCAACCCCCAGAGCGTTGATCGAGATATGAAACCAAACTTGTCCCAGCACTGAGCTCTGGAGAATACTGCTAGTGACTGGCTGCCAGCTGGATGTAACTTCATTTACCACCACTCTCTGGGCCTGGCCATCCAGCCTGTTTTTAACCCAGCAAACAGTGCACCAGTTCAAGCCATGAGCAGCCAGTTTCTCCAGGAGAATGGTGGGAAATGGTATAAAATGCTTTACTAAAGTCTAGGCAGACTGGATCCACATCCTTTTCCTCATCCACTGGCAACTGCCATATTATTATGCTAAGAAGCAGAATTCACATTTCATGCTGAAGGAAAATCTCAACAAGCACTTGACTATTTAGTGGTTTATTTAGACAGTTATGGGTTTGTGCAGCAGAAGTCACAGCATTTAAAAAATGTCATAAAAATGCTAAAATTCTTGCCTTTGCCAAAAGAAAAAGAAACTCTTAAATAAGTTTTGTTTGTTTAAATTTCTTTTCTTTTTGGAAAGACCAGCCTCTGGGATGAACTCTACTACCCTCAGCTGCTCCTCATAAGACTGATGTTCCAGACCCTTTACCAGTTCTGTTTCTTGGGATATATGTTGAGGCACTGTAAAAATGGGGCTCTGCTCCAGATTTTCAGTATGCAGGTATTAATTTCTAGGTCCACTGCTTATTCCCTTAGCCTGGGTTGGGTTTCCTTCATTTTGTTTATACTGCTGTTGATTTCTGAAGATCTTAAATCAGAATCATTGCATATAATTTACCTAAAGCAGAGTCACACACAACTTGAATCACTAATTTATTGTCATCTCATGTTTAACTGGGTTGCACACACTGCTCACACAAGGAATTGCTTGGGAAAACATCCAGTCAATAGCTTAAAAAGGGTAAGAAAGGAATGTACATCTGCCTCACTGAAGGCACAGTACTTTGTAGGTAACTTTCCGAATGAGGACAACCAAGACTTCCATAAGCAGCAGCACCGTACTGCTCTACAGCATAAAGAGAAAGGACAGTCCCTGACATCTTTCTTAGAATGGCCCATGTGAACTGCACAGTCGCAAGGTTTTGTTGCTTTAAAGTACCACTCATCTGACCCTGCAAGGAGGAGAGGGGAGATTTTTGTGTGCACTATTTTTAATGCAGTGGTGGTGGAGCTGTGTGTTATCTAATCTAGTAAAAAGTTGCATATCTTTTTTTCCTCTCTTACATAACCATCACATTTGATGGTAACACAGTGAAAGATGTGAAAACTGAGGTGGCTTTTTTCTTCAGTTAAATATGCCAAAGGTAAAATAATAAACCAAAACCAAAGCTTGAAGAATCAACTGTTACTTAAAGATATAAGAATGTCAGCACTGGTTAATACCAAGGTCCTACTAGGATCAGTACCATTTCCAACAGGGATAAAAATTAATGTCTAGAGAACAAGGACAAGGTGAATATATAGTCAGATTTCTCCCTAAATAATCTCCCAGATTCCTGACATCTCTACGACTGGTTAGAGCTGTGAAAAATGTCAGGTTCCCATCTATTCATCCATCCTACTCCAAATCCCTTCTTTCACTGTTTCAGTTTTGAAGAGAAAGATGGGAAAAACCTCATCTCTCCCGCTCCAAAACCTCAAGGTTGGCAAAGCCATGAGTATTTTGCTCACTAGAAATTGAGAAAAATAGCTGATTTTGTTCATTATACTCATAACTGCTTGAATCATCAGTGTAAATGCTAACATATGAACTTTTATAGGAATCATCGGAAGTAGCAATGGTGGAAACAGGTTTTCATTTCTATTGTTTTAAATTTTTCCTGCAGAGGACAACCTGACTATCCTAATTCCAGTCCCACAAGCCCTTGAACTTTGTCCTGTTTTATTTTTCTACTCTACTTCCATAGGTAATCTAATCTGAAATGCAAAATAAACTATTGCTCTCTTTAACAGTTCAGGTTTTACTTCTGTCCAATTTCTCTGGCTATCTCCCTGATACTTTTTGAGGGGTCAACTCTCACTTGCATGTCCACACCAGAATCCATAACCCATTAAAACCATTTATAATAATTCAAAGCATCTTACATCATCCCATCACCATTCAAGTTCATACTATAAACATCTTTTCGATACTTAGAGTGTAATTTCTTAACTCACTCCATTTCTTAATTAATTACTCTAAGAGACTATCTCTCCTGTCAGTGTTTAAAATATACTCACGGTCTCCTCATATTTCAATTACCATGACATCTTTTATCTTTTACTTTAGGAACTTGAAAGACACTGTAAAGGCAAAGGATGTAGCTTGGAGTGGTTGAATTCAGACAAAACACCTGGATGTAAATCCAGATGTGTCTGGTTATTTCCAGTCATGGCATCTTTGCCATAGCTCTCTTAACAACATTCAGCATCATCTTACAGCCTGTCATAGATGGAACACAAATATAGCTTTGTTCCTTTCAAAAGACCATAAATTAATTTAAAGGTACTGCTATATTTATCTGAAACGTCTGGATTTACGACAGCCTTTTAACTTTAAAAAAAAGCATTGTAACAACTATAAATACATAGCACTTATGCAATAGGCTTCAAGCTTTCATTAGAGGCTGACATACACCTGAAAAGCCTAAACATTTCCCCACTGTGACTACTTTAGGCGGAACAGATGAGGCACTTCACCAGAAGAGCTCGACTTGCCGTTCCACACTCGCGGAAAGCCCAAGCCTCGCTGCCCAGCCAGGCTCTGACAGGTCCGCGGCAGCGAGCGCATCCGAGCCCGACCTGCGAGGGCTGGGAACAGAGGGGATAATGCATAAACCCTAAGGACAAATAGCTTTTCTTTAACCTTGTAACTTTTATCGTGTCCTCCATTAAAAGACTAACACAGAAGGGAAGGGGGCCAGCCTAAGCGGCCCGAGACGAGTGCTGGTACCCGCCGGGCGATGCCTTCGGGACCACGGCAGCTACACACCCCCGTTCGCCGCTGGAGACCCCCCTCCCCGCCCCGGCGGCTCTATCCCTGTATCCCTGCCTCCCCCACAGCCCTGCTAACGCCCGACCCTCACCACAGCAGCCGCTCCCAGTAGCCAACCCGGAGCTCGTAGGGCTGTCCCTCTTCCCCGGCAAACTCCCCCCGTCCCCACTAAGACGCTCACTCCCCGCCTCCCCGCCGCCGGGCAGGCTGTGGGAGTTACGTGGGAACCGGCACCCTCTGGACGGGCGTTCCCGGACGGGCCCGCCCCGTCCCCCCCACGTGACCCCGCGCCGTTGGCGGCGCGCGCGTGGAGCGGTGTTTTGTAACCTCCTCCCGCCTCCTCCCGCCCCCCGCCCGCGCCCAGCCCGGAGCCGATCCCGGCGTCCGGAGCGGGAGCGCCACACCCCCTTCGCCGCAGCCGCGCAGCCGATGGCAGCGTCCTCTCCCGCCGTCGCTGTGGGCTCGGAGCTGCCGCCGGAGCCGGGCGGCAGCGGGAGCCCTGGCGAGGGGGCGGACGGGGAGCGGGAGCTGCTGCTGGCGCGACTGGTGCCCGCGAGCCGCCTGAAGGAAGCGGTGGGCGCGTCCCTGGCGTCGCTGTGCCTCGGCCCCCTCGGCGGAGCGCAGCGTCTCGGGACCCTCGTGGACTGCCTGGTGCTGAACTACCGCCTGCGGCAGGGGCCGGGCCGGGGCAGGGAGCGCGAGGCCGAGGGGCCGCTGCGCTGCTGCGGCTGCGGGAGGTTCCTGGGCGAGCCGGTGACCGTCCCGTGCGGGCACACCTACTGCCGCCGCTGCCTCCGCAGGGAGCTGCGGGCCCGCTGCCGCCGCTGCCGGGACTGGCTGCTGCCGGCGGGGGGCACCAGCACGGCCGCGGCCCCGATGCGCACCAGCGTTGTCCTCAACCGGCTGGCGGAGAAGTGGTTCCCGGGCGAGTGCGAGAGGGCGAGGGCCGGGAGCCGGCTGGAGGAGCTGCTGGCCCAGGGCCGCTTCCGAGAGGCGCTGGGCGCCGCCAGCCAGGCCCTGCGAGCAGGTAAGGCTGGAGGGGAGGGGAGCGCTCCCTTCCTCCGCCCGCCAGAGCCGCGAAGTTCCGCCCGTGTCTCGGCGGGACCGGGACGGGCTGGTGGCTAGGCACGGCAGGCTCAAGGGGCTGGGAGTGTAGTGGAATACGTGGGTGTGCCCTCCCTCCCCTGCTTCGAGTCCGTCATGGACCCAAACGGGCCGGTAAAAAACGTCCGAAGTTTTCTCGAGTTTGAGGGAATTCGAGGGGCCTCTCCATTGGGAGAGCGGAGTGGAGGGCACGCGTAGCTGGTCGGTCCTTGGTCGAGCGCCCGGCCTGGCAGTGGGGTACGCTTACTCGCACTTACTCCGGAGGTGAGGGGGAGCGTCCCACATGCGCTGCTTCGTGCCTCCCCCCCGCACGCTTGTGTGGGACTTGTTTACAGAGGAGCTTGTGGGCTCAGCTTCGTTTTGTGTTTGGTAATCGCTGTGCGCGGTCAAGGGAAATGCAGTTGGTGTATTTAACCTTGTTTCCTGAGAGAGAGACCTATTTTCAGTCTTAAGTGTCACCAAGACAATTCCCAGCAGGCCGGGCCCAGTTGCATAAGCAGACAGGCATGGAGGGGGACAGGTTGTGTAATGGCAGTGACATCATAGGTGGGTGTGGTTGGAGTTTTATATAGTGTTGGAAGAGGGTGCAAGGAGGGAAGGTAGAGGCATGCTTTTAGGCTATCCTATATCCGTCACAATATATGTGTCTGGGTGCCATGGACATTTGAGATACCGTCAGTTTTTCAGAGTTTAGTCTTTGTAGAGGGAGTCAAATTTGTGTGATTGATACACCTAGATGGATCCAGTGACAGATTCCTCTGTTGTTTTTATTCGACTGAATTTTATCACCTGGTGACCTGAGGGGTTCCATTTTGATTTGTAGCCGGTTTTTTTCCTGTTCGTTAATTTAAGAATTAATATTTTTACAGGTTAAGCATATTACGTTTATACAGTTGTCTGCAGCGGAGGGAAAAAACCCAAAAGCTTGCATAAGTCTAATCCTGCCAATCTGTTCTGGGGAGATACATTAGATCTAGTTCCAGAATAAGCCGTTCCTAATGTCGGTGAGATTAAATCGAAGATCTATTTTATATGCTTTTTGGCAACCTGATTTAAAGAGGTTTACTTCTGGGCACCAAGTCTATTTGCCAGGGTGTTTCTAAAGTGTAGGATATAGGATGGATGTGACCTGAGAAAATGGCTGATCTATTTTAAATCTTGGAACTATAAGATGCAGACTTCTTTCCTGAAGTTCAACATTGAGTCATAGAGGTCGCTCAGTGGCCTTCAGGGTAAAACTGATGAATCCATTATTGATCTCAAATGTTTACAGGGGTCCTGCTTCATGTTTCAGCATTGCTTTGAAAGAATAAAAGAGGCAATTAATTATACAGTTTTTGTTACTATTTCTTTTATGGATTTAGCAATATTATATAGATAACTGTGGGGAAAGAATTTTGATTCCTTTTTATGTGAATCTGCATCTTTAATTTTGGCTTTAAAATGGGTTTAAAATGTAAGAACAGTTACCAGCTGTGAAGCTTAATCAAAATTTTATTATTTAAATTCAGTACACGTGCTAGAATTAAGTGCTAGAAGCTCAGTTTAAGATCTGTTGTACAATTCTTTCCTGTATCTCCCCTCCTGAGAACTATCAATATTCCATATATTCTGGTAATGATATTAAAGGACTTCATGAGTCAGAGTGCAGACATACATTAAATGTGAATTTAGAGATGTGGACTCACAACTACAAATCGAAGGTGATTTCAGGCCAACAGATAACAAATTAATAGCTGCTTTTACACTTTCAATCTTCCTCCAGAACATGAATCTTGAAAAAACTTAGAGATTGAAAAGATGTGGCTTAAGAAATGTATTAATGTTTAAAATCGTTTATGTTCTGTTTCAGTGTTTCCTTACTGCTGCTTCATCTATTTCTTTTTAATACAAATAGTCAAAAAATTGCAATAAACATAAATCTGATGTCTTAAATAAGGCATTGATGCTAAAAGTTTACTCAAAAAGGTATCTTTCATAACTCTTCTACATTTCTTGAAACATTTGAAAGAGTCCTGTTTCCCATGGTACAGAAGTGACTTTTGAAAAACATGAGTAATATTAACATATTTATATGGTTAAAATATTCCTTGCAGGGTTTGAAACAAAATAGTTTAATTAAAGGAAGTATATTGAATTAAAATACAAGTGCCGCTTGCCTTTAATCAAGCGTCCTGAAAAATGCAGCTAATGGGCTTGAGTTTGGTCTGAATCTCAGACTTGTTCCTGCTGGAGTGGGCCTCAGGAGGTCTGTTGAGCAATCAGTCTCCTGTTCAAAGCAGAACAAATACTGAGATTGGAGTAGCGTGCTTAAGTTTTTTGAGTTTTTGTATTGAATCATGAAAACCTACAGGCTGAAGATTCCACAGCCTCTCTGGGCAACCTGCTCAGAGGTTAATTATCCTCATAGTGAAAATTTTTCTCCTTATTTCAAGTCTATTTCAGTTTATAACCATTGTCTCTTGTTTTTCCACTATGCACTTCAGAGTCCTCTAGGTAACCCACTTTTGGATTCTGAAAAGATGTTGTGTTCTCCTGATGCTTTCAGGAATTGTTTTCTGCTAAACAAACCCAGTTCTCTCAGCCTCTTCTTATGGGTTGTGTGTTCCAACCCTGATAGTTAGGGTGATCCTGTAGTACTGTGTTAATAAATACTGTGTCCTAAAGTTTTTCTACATAGTGGTTGTGATGTGCATGTCTTTTATTTTGAATAATTTGGTCTATTATTAAGAACCATATAAAAAGCAGACAGGATCCACCAGAAGTAGTCCATCTGTTGGTAAGTTTATACTGACATTAGCCAGGAGCAGATGCTTTGGAAATAATATTAAAACCAAGAATGCATATTGAGTGAGTTTTTGTGTGTACACCTCTTTACACTTTCCTATTAATGTAATAATAACAAGTAATACAGTTCTACCCTACAAGTACTTAGTGTCTTCTTTTCATTAAAATTGTTTGTCTTCAGGTATGCTAAAGTGAGGCATTTCGGGATTTACAATATATTTGGTTACTGAAATTGAAATTCAAGCACTAGTTGTGTTTCTCCTGTTTAGTCTTTGGTCTAGAGATTTGAAATTAGTTTACATCCTCTCTTTGGGTGGTAAACATTTAAAATATATGCTGAAACATTGTGAAATGTTTTTATCATGGTTACAAAGCCTAAAAATTAAATTATGTTTACGAAATTGGATATATAAATTTAGATAGAACCAGAGAATTGTTTAGGTTGAAAGTGTTAGAATTGACCTTTCAGATAATGAAGTCCAAGCGTTAACCCAGCACTGCCAAGTCCACACTAAACCATGTCCCTAAAGTGCCACATCTGCGTGTCTTTTAAATCCCTCCAGGGATGGTGACTCCACCACTGCCCTGGGCAGCCTGTTTCAGTGCTTGACAGCCCTTTTGGTAAAGAAATTTTTCCTGATAGCAAACTAAAAGTCCCTTGGTGCAACTTGACACTGTTTCCTCTCATTTTGTTGGTGTTACCTGGGAGAAGAAACAGGCCAGCCCCCACCTTGCTACACCCTCCTTTCAGATAGTTGCAGAGAGCGATAAGGTCCCTCCTGAGCCTCCTTTTCTCCAGGTTAAACTCAGTCGCTCTTCATAAGACTTATGCTCCAGACCCTTCATCAGCTTTGTTGCCCATCTCTGGACACACTCCAGACCCTCAATGCCTTTCTTGCAGTGAGGACTCCAAAACTGAACATATTTCGAGCTGTGGCCTCACCGAGGCTGAGTACACGGGAACGGTCACAGCCTGCTGCCCATGCTATTTCTGATACAGTCCAGGATGCCATTGGCCTTCTTGGCCACCTGGGCACACCGCTGGCTCATGGTCAGCCATCTGTCAAACAGCACCCCCATGTCCTTTTCCACTGGGCAGCTTTCCAACCACTCTTCCCAAAGCCTGTCGCTCTGCATGGAGTCGTTGTGGTCTAAGTGCAGGGCTCAGCACTTTACCTGGATGAACCTCATACCAGTAGCCTTGGCCCATCGATCCAGCCTGTCCAAATCTCTCTGCAGAGCCTTTCTGCCCTCCAGTAAATCAACACTCCCACCCAACTTAGTGTTGTCTACAAACTGACTGAGGGTGCAGTTGATCCCCTTGTCCAGATCATTGATGAAGACATTAAAAGGACTGGCCCCAATACCAAGCCCTGAGGAACATGACTTGTACTCATCTGGCTTTTTTTTCTTGGAAATATTTAGCTCCAGTTTGTTATATGTATTGATCATTCAGTGGCAGTGTTTGTATGTTCAGCAGCGAGTTGGGGTTCCAGCTAAACTCCTTGGTTTAGTCTTTGTTTTGTACCAGTTCAGTTGGAATCATGCATTTGTCTTTGAAAAGGAAGTATATAAAATGTCCACCTGCTGTAAACTTGAACTCACATTTTTATCTTCAAACCACCCCTCATTCTTCCCCTAGGAAAAAAGGATTGGAGTCCCTCAGGTCATGTTCTACACTTGAAAGTCTGAAAAAGATGCGCTTCCTCTGATTCTGTACAAATAGGCAGCTTATCAGAGAACAAAGACCTGCACTTACTGCTACCTTTGAAGAAAGAAATTTGGTTTGATACTAACTCTGCTGGACACCAGAGCCAAATACACATAAAAAACTATCTGAGGAGTTTGATCTGAGCTCTTACCTTCCTAGGCTATAGCAGTCACAAAACACAAAGCCATAGGAAACCAGGCCTCAGAGTTGTTCTGCTTGCAGAATTAGTGTTTGAGTTAGAGAGTTTCCCAGACTTCTGTTAAAACAAACATTTTATTATGTCTAAAATAAAAATGAAACAAAGCAGGTTTGGTAATCTTTATATTTCAAGGGAAACTGACAACTCCAAAGACAGTTAAGGAAGAGACACTTTATTTTCGGCTGTGAATTCTTCTGTGATTTTTTTTCTTAACCCTTTCTCTTCCATTGAGATCTTTTTACATGTAGCACTGTGGATCTAAATACAAAGTGATGTGGTGGAATATATGGGAACATTGACCAGGCTGACTTTTAAATGTAAAACAGGCTAGTGTTGGAAATTTATGAAAGTTTATACTAGACATTTAGAATAGGCTAAGATAGAATATCAAATTGAAATGATCGCCTCCCAGGAAAGCCTTGTTGAAACAAACTTCAAGGACTATTTGATTTTAGTATTGTTTACAGTAGACTAAGGTTTGGCTTGTTTATCTCACTCAGTGAAAAACAGGTGCATTTTTAAAAACAATCAATAACAAAGTAGTGTGCTGGCATATTTTCTAAGCAACAACTGCACTTAGTTGTGTTACAAAACCATAGTTTTAGTGGCATGGAGATGGGTATGCTTCCCATTTGGAGGTTGCTGTACTGAAAGTGCAAAATGTATGTTGGACATGAGAACTTGTCCATACTGAACACGTTCTGCCATTTCCCCATTGTAGAAGTTCCATTAGCGCAGCTCCTTTCAACAGGGCTGCCAGCTGGTGTTAAAGGCTTTCTGGTATTGGCTGTCTCTTTTCATCACATAGTGATAAAGCCTACTTCTGGTACTTCCTAAATGGATAGTGCTGGGAAAGTGGCATCTGTATCTCCAGCCGTAGTTGGAGGGGATTGGCATTATAAAAACAAATTACAGTCTACAGCAAAACTTGGGCATTTGAAAGTAAACTGTGTAATGCTTAGGCTTTTAATACAAATGTGCTGAATTCCCAGATTCCTGTGGTTTTGATTAGATGTACTGTAAAGGTAAAGTTGACTTGGTCTGCAGTTTTTGTTGTCACAGTAGTGCAGAGCAGTACTTTGTCAGCCTTTCTGATATTTGAAAATATATTTTCTTGTTGCTGCAATATACATTAGAGGATCCAAAATTTGATCCTTAGCTTAAAAGACATGAACCTGGAATTACTTCTATTACCCAAACACTAGGGGTTAGGGGAGAATGTACTCCAGTAATTTTGGAAGTATTGTACAAAAAATTGTAATTATGTGATATCACTATGAAAGCAAATCTAATTACAAATTTCTGATTTTTTAAAAATGTTACCTAATTTCTGTCTTCAGATTCCAGTGACTTGATGCTTAGGATTTACAGAGCTGAGTCATATGTTGGCCTCCAAGAATATAAAACAGCCATAGAAGAGCTAAATTTTGTTATTTCTAAAATGCCAAATTGGCCAGAGGTAAGTTGGTATGAGCTCATCATTTTCCAATACTGTGTTTGTCTATAAAATTAATAAATTCTAAATTGAATTGTTTAAAAACCTGCGTCAGCTTCTTTAAATGTTATTTTGTGAGACGTGCAAAATGCTAAAAGGCACATTGAAAATAGTTAACTTGTATGAGACAAGCTACTGATGAGTATGGCACTTTAGGGCTGGTTGATAAATATACTTAGAGTTGGGATGGTTTATGGTGATGTAATCAGTAACAGCTGGGGTTTGGGGCTTGTTTTGTTTATCTGTTAATTTTTGTTAACAGAAGGATGCTTTTCTTGGAAGTTTTTCTTCAAAAAGCCCAAAGAATCTCAGTGGGCACTGAGCTTTGCAAATAGTCCAGGCAGCTGGGGAGTCAGTGGTCTTCAGAACCCTTATGATGCTGCATATTGTAGCACTGTCTAAACTGAGCGCAGCAGGAGCAGCAAGATCTTGCCACATGAGGGGACATTGCTGCTGTCTTGGTTTGTCCTGTGTTCAGCAGTTCAGTTGCTATTGCAAATTCATAAAACCCTCCTGCTTTTCACCTCTCAGTGTTGGTAGCATTGTCTACTTTTTTCTGTATGTTTGGAAAGAAGCCTCACTTTGTTTAACTGAGCTTGGTTTGATGGATGGATTCCTGTAACAATCCTTATCTCTGAAGGAAAAGTAACTGTAAGAGGAGGATTAGCATGCTTCCCTTCTTCAGAATACCTCTTAATTGAAACAGCCCAAATCCATCAAAGAGGATGCATGCCCTCATCTCACAGTCTTGTTGAACAGATGCTACTGTTCATACTGTCAGTCATCCTGTGGAAACTGCACTCTGAGGTTTGTTTGTTTGTTGTTTGGTTGGAATTTTTGTTTGTTTATTTTTTTGTTTGTTTTTGAAGTTTAGTTTCTGGCCCATTATCCAAATTCTCGTGTACAGATAGATATTGTTGTTTTAACTAACTTTTATTAGATAACTGTTTGTTTTATCTAACTATTTATATTACTGCCAGTGCAACTTCTAAAAACTGAGATAAGTTCTTAGTCCCAACATCATCTAGTTACAACTAAGTTTAGCAAAATTCAGTAGTTTTTCTTCCACCTTTTTTTTTCAGACCAAATAATATACAGATTTTTTTTTTCCTGTTGCTATCTAGTGCTCAAGAATAAAATATAGTTGGAGGAAGCAACTCCAAAAATGCATTGTTTTGTGTTAAGAATGTTTTGTGTTAAGAATGTAGATTGAGATGAACGTATGGGATGCACAGTTGTGTGGGTTGTTTTGTTTGTAGTCCGTCTTTTCCTGCATGCTGGAACCATAAGGCGCTTAATGAAAGAGAGGCAAAAAAGGGTATCCTGTAAGCTCTTATGTGAGGTTATGTAATAATTTGCATTTCTTGTCCCCCTTCTTCCTCTCCAGGAAGAAGGGAAACTAAGACCTTTTGTGCATTAAGCACTAGTCAGGTTTTTAACCCTTTTGTATAAGCCAAAGCAAATTAACTGGAAGAACATTAACACCAGGCTATTCCATGACTCTTTTCAAACACTAGCTTATCTATGTTAGACAGGGCATATGGATTATCCACACTGTGCTCTGTTGAAGAGCTACATTCTTTTTGTCACGGCAGGTTCTAATTCTAACTGTTGCAATGCCTGTAAGATCAGTACTGCAGTTCAACATATTCTCTAGAAATGTCTTCGTCTTCTGTTTCTCAGGTCTACTTCCGGAAAGGAAAAGTGCTGCAAGACTCTGGCTTTATAGGTGATGCCTTACAGCTGTTTCTACAGTGCTTAGCCCTTGATGAAGACTTTCTTCCAGCCAAGCTAGAAGTAGAAAAGGTATTCGTGATACTGGATTCCTATCTCTGGTTTGATTCCTTTATAAAGCTCCCATTGTGGTAGACTTTGAGCATCTAAAATGTTCATTACATACAGAGACGATTTGGATGGCAGATTACTTTTAAGATATATCTTAAATCATACTACGCTGAAGAGATATTCCCAGTGTAGGCATTTTAAATACATGTTTAAAAGTACATATGCTTTTGAAGTTACTGTATGAATATCTAGAAAACTGCAAAGTAGGCAGCGTGTTAAATTTTCTAAGTCAAAATCTTTTGTGCCCAGAGCACAACAGTTTTTCTTTGATAATAAAAATTTATAATGAAAAAAATGCATAATACTGAATTGATAATGTATAACTGTTCGAAGAGCTCACTAGCTTGTCGTAGAAAAGATTTCTAGGTAAATTTCTTTTTATCAGTGTAGGTATGTAGGTTTCTGCTTGTTTTCAACTCTGCTTTCTCAGTTACTGCTTAAATATCTATTTATGAGGATAACTTCATAGAGATTTACTTCTTACTTTTGGTATGTAGTTTTATAACAAAGGTATGTCTAGGTTATTTTTCTTTATTATTGACATTTAGCTATTTTTTCTAGACATTGTGTGATGTTTTGTCACCAGAGAAGCTAGGTGAGAGTCTGAAGGAATCTGCTTGGAATTCAGTCCATATTCGAAATAAACCTTTTCTGCTTGGTTCTGAGGTGACTGCATCTTACTGCAACTTACAGTTTTGTCCTCAGCAGGTAACAAAAATTCTAGGATAACTTTTGTTGTTGTCTGATATGCAAACATTGGATGTGCTGATACCCTGATACTTTCCATTGTAAATACTGACTTTCTGTGATTGAATTGGAGGAAAAGAATCATGATTTGGGAGGAATGTATTTTTATTTGTAGTGTTAAAACTCCTCATTCTAGTGAGCTGGAACAAGTAATAAAGTAGTACTTAAGTTTGATATTAGGGACTTCAAAATAAAGAGAAATACAATTTTTCTTCTCTTTGAAGCAGATGAAGATTGTTAAATTGGTGATGCTAAGCCAATTTGAGTACTGTCTTGACTTACAAGTTTCTCTAGTTAACTAATGAACTAACTGTGGGTATCAGTTTGGCTTATATATCTTTGCGTGGTCGCATCTTACATACCTAGATTTGTGTTACTCTTAAAATACAGTTCAGTTCATCTCACTATTACAGAGTTCAGGAGGATCAGATGTACTGAAGCCTGTCAGTGGAGGCTTAAATCGTGCACAGTCTGCCCATGCTCTTAATTCAACAAAAGACCTTGCCAAGGAAGATGGCTTAAAGAGAGTGTCTTCTGAACCTCTTCTCTCTGGCCAAGGAAAAAGTGCTTTGTTAAAAAGAAAGCTTTCCTTTTCAGAACAGGATACAGTTGTATGTGAAGATGGAAGAAACAAACACAAAAAGCAAGGAGGTAAACAGTCACTTACTTTGAAATTTAAAGTATTTACTGCCTTGTGCCTTTCTTTGAAGGAGTATTTTGTCTTGCTTTTCTTTAGAAAGTACAAAAAGGGATGTGACACTGGCCTTTGGAACAATTCCAGGGGATTTGATTGATGTATCAGATTTTGAGTGCTCTCTATGTATGAGGTAAGATTTTGTCCGTGATGCAGTATTTCTGTTACAGATGCTTGGCACGTATCTGTTACGTGTATGAACTGTAGGTTGTTATGAATTCTGCTATCAGTCAATAATTGCACCTTTTCTCTATCCCTGAAATTAAGTGTTTATTTAAATGTCACCTGCTACAGCACTGTATACTATAGGACTATTTTAATCAAGTTGCCTTCTAAATTAAACTTGGCATTGTTAACTGGTAACCGTAAAAGTACAGGGTCTTTTGTTGCTAAATGTTAGGGGGTTTTTGAGTCAATAAAAGTATTATTTTGGAAAGGCTAATTCTGAGAAGCATTGCCTGTGAACCTCGTATTTGTCTGGGAGATGTAGATGCTTTAGAATGTTAGTTTACTTAAATGTAGCTGATGTTGTATTTGAAACCTCTTATTGTCTTGCTTTTCAGAATAAATTCTGTAAAACATATGGTGTATACTAAACTATCCATGGTTATGTTACTAGTATGTAATACTGCTACGTAAAACAACTTAGCTTCTCAAAGAATCACTCCATTTCGTGTATTCTGAATCTCTAGCAAGACCAAAAACTTTGTGTTTTGGGATAAATGTTTAGGTACTTAAAGTGCTGAAATGTGTCCAGATTCATCAGAAAACAAAAAAATGAGTGATGAAGTAAGTGGAAACAAACTGCAGTATAGAGGAAAAAGTAGAATAAGGAGACATGGAATTAATTTTTCTCTGCTTTATTGTAGTATACCTAGTCTTTTAAAGAGGTTAATCATTGACTCTTTTAGCAAAAGACACGCTGGCCATAGGATCTAAATTCTAATAATTTTGTTTCAGGCTATTCTTTGAGCCAGTTACAACCCCTTGTGGACATACTTTTTGCAAAGGTTGTTTGGAACGATGTTTAGATCATGCTCCACAGTGTCCACTCTGTAAGGAGAGCTTGAAAGAGGTATTGTTTCTCAGTAAAGCTTACAAATACAAATATTGTATAATTTTAAAGGCTGCTTCACTTGAACCCAATAACTTGGTTTTGCTTGGCTTTTGGATTGCTGCTGGAATGGAAAAACTTGAGACAAACTTTTTCAATACAAGTTGATTAGATTTTCCTCAGGGTCTTAGGGGTTTTATGTTTCTGTGACCATCTACTTTACTGGTGTAATTAAATCCTGCGTATTCATAAACTTTGGTAAGTATTCGGTTAAACCTCTCTGTGATTTCTGTACACTTCCCTTGTTTGTATGTCTGTATATCCTAGGAAAACAGTTCTGTCTCTGGTAAGCACAGAACTACAAATCAAGTTAGACACTAAATGTGTCAGACACTAAGAACTCACGAAGAGAATCTAATTTTCAAATATTGGAGTATCCTTAGGTGTTAAGCAATGAAACATAAGAACTTCAGAGCTGTAAGTTTTCATGGGTTTTAAGACACGTCATAGATCATATTTTTAAATAAAAGCTGCATTTTCTGAAATTTTTTTTAATATATATGAAAAGAAATATTAATGTGTTTTTTGAAATTGCTTACAGTACCTTGCAAGCAGAAAATACAGTATCACAGAACTGCTGGAGGAATTAATAATGAAATATTTGTCTGACGAATTATATGAGAGAAAAAGAATTCACGCTGAAGAAACTGCTGAACACTCCAAGTAAGCTTGCTGTCTTGAGAAACTTGAGAAATTAGTATGGAAATCCTTTATAGAAATGTTTTCTTATTTTTGTGGTTATTAATAATGGTATATTATGGATGCAAGAAGGAGTTTGAAGCTTGTCCAGGTCCTTCTGGGTGGCATCCCATCCTTCAGATCTGTCAACCACACCACTCAGCTTGGTGTCATCAGCAGATTTGCTGAGGGTGCACTCAATCCCTTCATCTGTGTGATTAATGAAGATATTAAACAGTGCAGCTCCCCATACGGATGCCTGAGGGCCACCACTTGTCACTGATATCCCCTGGGACTCAGCCATTGGCCACTATTCTCTTGACGCAACCATTCCAACCACTTTCTTACCCATCTAACAGTGCACCCGTCAAATCCATCTCTCTCCAGTTTGGAGAGACAGATGTTGTGGGGGACCATGTCAAAAGCTTTACAGGAAGTCCAGATAAATGACAGCTGTAGCCTTTCCCTTGTCCGCTGATGTAGTCACTCCATAGAAGGCCGTTAGGTTGGGTTGGGCCAGATAGGATGGAGCTCTGAGCAACCTGGTCTAGTGGAAGGTGTCCCTGCCCACAGCAGAGGGGTTGGAACTAGATGATCTTTAAGGTCACTTCCAACTCAGGCCATTCAATGATTCTGTGAAATACGTTTTCCCTTCCATTCCTCTTTTTGCATGCGCTGTCATGGAGCTTTGGTTTTAGCTTTGCTGTTCATGGAATTGTCCTCTTCAACTGACTGCAGAGTCTTAGAGACTTGAATTTCTTGCAAACCAGTTCATGAAGAGAGATGTGATCAAAAGAAATAGTTGGGATTTTTTTGTAATTGTGGTATTTATCTCACGAGGGAGAGTTCTTCAGATACAGAAAGCATTATGTATTGTAGATAGGAATGTTGAAAAACTATTTAAAACTGCAGCTCCTGCAACTTACATAACAGAATCCATCCAGTAGAATTATTTTTTGCAGTCTGAAAGGTATTAAAATTAAATCCCTGGTAATGTTTTAATAATAACTTGTTTGTATCACCTATCAACTATACATACCTGATAAAATAGCATGAAAAAAATATTTTGTTTTTCAATTACATCTGCTGAAGCATATTGCAAGGTACAGAGTATACCGTCCTTGCATTTGTGTTCTGGAGTCCCTCCTGGAGAATAGTCTAAATGGTGATTGTAGCTACTGTGTAGTTACTGCTACATCTTTTTAGTTCCAGGAATACTATGTTTCTGAGAGCATAATGGCTTGTATGGCTCAAAACAAAAAGGAAAAAAGTACCTAGCACTCCTGTCCCCAAAACTGAGCCCTTCATTCACTGACTAGATACTCTACTCAGTAGCTAGATAACTATGAGGCTTACTGTCCAGTGTGTTTATACAAATCAGTATGTAGGTACTGAGTCACTGTTACATGTTTTTATTTTTTATGAAAGTTTCTATGAAGTGCTTAAACTTTGAAAGTTACTACCCATGCTTTATGACCTCACACATAGCAAACATACTGAAAAAAATGTTTTATCTTGGCATAGCTCAGTGTTTAGATTTTGAAGCCACTTATTTCATTTGATGTTCTCTTGAAGCTTGACCAAGAATGTTCCCATGTTTGTTTGCACTATGGCATATCCTACTGTGCCTTGCCCTCTACATGTATTTGAGCCAAGATACCGACTCATGATTCGCAGGAGTATGGAAACTGGAACTAAACAGTTTGGGATGTGCATAAGTGATTCTCAAAATGGGTAGGTTTACATTCTAAATCTAAGCTTCTCATCTCTTATGTCTTTTTTAATTAAAAAAGTGTCCTTTCAGAAGTGTGTAATTGAATTACTTACAAGGTCTCTTTTGTAGTTTTGCAGATTATGGTTGCATGCTGCAAATAAGGAACGTTCATTTTCTACCTGATGGACGGTCTGTTGTTGATACAGTTGGTGGAAAGCGATTTAGAGTTTTACGGAGAGGGATGAAAGATGGTTATTGCACTGCAGACATTGAATATTTGGAAGATGTTAAGGTATCCAGAATGCTGTCTAAATATTTAGTAGTATTAATATATGAAGATTTTTGCTTGATTTGTTCTTAAGAGCTCCGTTTCAAATTTTTCAATCTCTAGACCGCTGGAAGATTCAGTGCCAGCGCGTGGAATAAATGGCAGCTAGCTTAATTTTTTATTATAAGGCAACTAAGAAATACTATAGTTTTTTGTTTAAGCAGTAGTTTGAAGCAGTAACTTTAAAAATATTGCAAGATTTCTTTACTATTCAGTCATTGGTAATCAAGGTTTAGGAGAAAGCAAGAAACGTATCTAAATATAGTTGAAATTGAATGGTTTTTTGATGTTAGTTTAAACACCTTATTGTTTCTTTATCACTAATCATATTTTCATAACTTTCCTCCTATAGGTTGCTGATGAAGAAGAACTAAGGAAATTGACAGAGCTTCACAATTTTGTTTACAATCAGGCCTGCAGTTGGTTCCAAAACTTAAGGAACAAATTTCGCACTCAGATTCTTCAGCACTTCGGGCCAATGCCTGACAGGGAGGAAAATATACAGGTGAGACTCAAATACTATCAATTATTAGATACTTATTTCTAGAAATAAAAACCCTGTTAACAACTGCTAAGCATTAAAAAAAAAACCCACCACTTTTTTTCCCAGCTTCAAAGGCAATAAGGCTTGCACCCCGTTTCTCTTTTGATGAGCAACAAAAAGCAATTCTGTCACTGGTTGTCAGTTTTTGCAGGAAAAGATGATATGCTGCAGTGGAGATAAAAATAAAACCAGTAAACTGAAAGCACTTTAAACTCTAGTAACATTTAAACTGTTTGTTTGTGTAAAGCTGTTAGAACTTAAAGTGAAAAAAACCTTGAATTTTCTTCCCTGTGAAAGTCAGGGAAGAAACTGAAACTGCCATATGCAGGCAAAGAGTTAATCACAAATAACACTTTCCTCCTTTCTAACCTAGTGCCATAAACTTCTGCAGCTGCTAGGATTTGACAAATGTTTCTTAAGAAACTAGCTGCAGCAGTCTATTTTAATGGTTATAATGCAACAATTACCGAAGGTTTGTGACATCCTGAGAGACTGGAGGCTGTAGAAAAGTAATTAAAAACATGTAAAATTTGACTTTCAAAGCAGAATTGTATCTGATAGATATAATTGGGATAGATAGATTGGGATCTTATGGGAGCTTGTCCCTCACCCATCTGGTGTATACTTTTATGAGGCTGTATTAACCAGTCTTGGGAGGACTGTAGATGCTCTAGAGGCCAGTGCATGAATTCAGAAGTGATTTTAGAACAATTAAATAAAAAAATAGATTGGAAACAACATACTAGGAAAGAGGAATTATATGTACAAAACTGCAGTAACTGGTAGGGCAACCGTACTGTGGGTGTGTACCTGAGATTTATAATAGGACACAAATCAAAGCTGTGTGATACAGCTGAAAGTGAGGAAATATCATCTTGGAGTGTACCACTATTAGTAATATTTTTGCAAATCATTCGAGGTGATTAATCTTTTCTGCAGTGATAAGATCTCTGCTGAGGAGTATTATGTCCAGTTCATGGTCTGACATCTAATGCTTCATGTTGGTAATTAAATAAAGTACAGGAAAAAGTTACAGAATATGTTTTAACAGCTTAGAAGAAAGTGATTAAGTAGTGCTGCTCTGTGTAGGAGCTAATGAAAAAGGGAGTGCAATTGGGAGGTGATCAAATAAAGATAATTTTAATGAAAATATTAAGCTTTGTAAATATTCAAGCCTTAAGAATAGCATGACAGGTATTGGGTTTAATTTTTATCAGAGAAGTTTGTTATTAGGTGACTGTCTTATACCTAACCATCTTTTCCCAAGGAAGCTGTGAGCTTCTGCTTCCTGTGTTATATTAAAAATAATTGCTTTATCCAGCCTAGTTTAAGTGTACTTTGTTTGACTTCTCAGTTGAGGAGGAATCAGAAGAGACCCCTTGAGCACTCTTCTTATCTCACGGATCTGGAATTCTGTAGTTAGTATCAAACTTTAAAGTAGTCTTGGTCATTGATGACTTTATCTTTTGATGTTTTCATGGTAGTCAACTATACAACATTGGTTATGGGTAACCAACTTATCTTTTATTTTTAGGCAATGCCCAATGGTCCTGCTTGGTGTTGGTGGCTTCTAGCTGTTCTCCCAGTAGACCCCAGATACCAGCTGTCAGTTCTCTCCATGATGTCTTTAAAAGACCGTCTGATAAAAATCCAACATATACTCACATATTTTTCTAGAGACCAGTCCAAGTGACTAACCGCCTGGGTCTTCCTGAAAAGTTACTCTGTTCTGGTTGTAGTAGCAGCTGGAATTTTTGCTGCCTTTGCACATTTAGTACTGGTTTGAGAAGTGTAATGGAACTGTTTTTTCTCTCCTCTCCACCCTCCCCACTTCCTGAACCACGTGGTTCTTTGAATGCACACTTTCTTCAACTATGAGAGAAGACCACTGACGATTGCACAAAGTCAATCCAGCTAGATATGTTTTTCACATTATCTACATTAAAATTTGCACTATGTAGAAGAGAACCTTTTTGAGACTTGATCATTTTAGCAACTGACTTCTTTAAGCTGTGGAAGTGCAGGACTTAAGGCTGACAGTCCAAGTTTACAGCACTGAGGAGGTATTAAAGGTTTTGCAAATGTTTGCCTCATACAACTGTTCTTTTGCTGTTTGCACAAATATTTGAAATATAGTATTGAATGTTACAGTTGGATATTACTACTCTTGTTGAATTATCTTGACCAGGAATGAGGCACAGATTTTGAAGTTTCTTGTAATTGTATGCATCACAAAATAGGTGACGTTATGAACTGTATGCTGAACTGGGAGCCTATTTTAAGGAACAAATGCAAAAAAAAAAAGGTACTTCTGTCTAAAAATACTTAAACTGTGAATATGGTTTACATACTTAGGCCTGTACATGTTGAAGAGGAAACTGAAATCTAAATGCTAGTACCAGTTACATTTCTACTGGACTTTTCAGGCTGGCAGTTCTTCCAGAGCACACACTTAGTTTGTAGAGCTTAGAAGAAGAAATCTTAAGAGTGTGCGTGCGTGTGTCTGTTGGGGGTTGTGCATCCAAGATTCAAAAGCTTAAAGTTTTTATTTGAACTTTTTAAGTTGGTGCAAATGTGAGTTCTATGCCTTATTCATATCAATAGTAGAGCACACTGCAGTGGCAAGGTTAGCATCATGCTGCCAATAGGTACTTTTTGTAATTAAAGTTTGCATATTTGTGAATATGTCTGATACTGGCTTTCTTGTATGTAAATCATTTGTAAAATATTTCTTAAATCTTGCTTTTGCTAATATATTTAATTTTCAATAAAAGCTAAAAGTTTGTAATATTTTAAACTTTATCAGAAACTAAAAATCACTTTCTTTTTTCATATGCTTCTATTCTGGGATCTTAAGTACATCCAGAAGCTGCTGTTTAACCTACATTAAGGTTGTGAGCACTTCATGACGTAACTGGTATGTACATAATCTGTTTCTGATTATAGTACCTGTCTCAGACTGATTATTGGTCAGACAAGTTTTTTGCTGGTGGCCTGCTTTTCTATCTATTTTGTTTAAATCAGGTATGAAGTTTGCATTTCGCAAAACTTAGAAATTGTGGGAATCTGTTCTTGCAGAGCAGTGAGGTATTTCACAGACCTGTTAGTCAGATGCTCTGGCCTTATTCTCTTCAGGGGTCCAAGGTTTGAGATATTACAGGCAGCCCAAAATCTGCTGGATCATTTCTAATGTGGTTTTCTATCTAGGGTAAATTTTCCGTTTATGGTACGAATAAAGTCCTGGATTAATATTTAGAACACTTTATTTGCATAATAAAAGAAGAAATGGAATCCTCTATTTCTCCACTTCCATATGTTGTAACTTTAGAAACTTAATCTTTGCATCACCATGATCTTCTTAAGAATGTAGGTGGCAGGATTTTTTTACTTCGGTGGCAAAAAGTCCCTGTAGCCAGGCTGGAAATACCCAAATAAACTAGTGGTAATTTTTTTTTCTTCTTACCAAGAGCTTGAGTTTTGAAATTCAGTATTCCCTACTCTGCTGGAAGATGTGGTTTCTAAATGTTTTTATACATTCCCATGACTTTTTAATAAGGTAAAAACTCAGATAAAATATCAGTTGGCTTGCACTGTCCTGTGCCTAAGTGTGTTCTATTTCTGGAATTGTATCAACTACATAAGGTAAAACATTATTAAAAGGAAACAGCAACAAAATAAAAAGGAAAGTAACTGTGTTTAACACACGTTGCATTGAGGCTGGTTGTAAGTGTACTCTTTGGTAGCTATTCCACAGAATATTTGAACCAAACTGGCTCTTGGGAATGATAGAAAATTGAGAGTGGGGACGAAAGATTTTTAAGAGGTTTTTCAAGTTGGAATTTTTTTAAGTGAATGTTTTGTGGACCAGATTTTATCACTTTGTGCAGTTAGAATGAGACAGTAAAACAAGCTTTGACTGAATGTTTGCATAGCACTTTCAGTAAGTATCTTGGAGAGACACTATGCTGTACTTTGTACATCATACTTTGAATTTCAGGAGTATTTTCTTATTCTTACAATTATTTTTTTTATCCCCCCCATCACACAGCAAGGGTTCTTTAGCTGTCAAACAACAAATAGCAACTAAGGATAAAGTTTGATCACCTTTAATTATTATAATAAGGTTGAAAATCAGTGTAATTAGGCCTGAGCAGAATGCAAGTGAACTAGGCATAGGGAAGAGGGGAAAGCTCACTTGCTGTGTAGGCAAGGTACAACACCTCTAATGATTAGACTTACCTGATGAGGAGCAACAGCCAAGAGAATTGTCAAGCTCTCGTTTTCTCTCATGACAAAAGGAGGTTTCCTTCGCTGGGCAGCACCCTTGGACCAGCCAACGAAAGCTACCCCAAGTTATTGTTGGGGCACCTTATTTACAAGATTGTGCTTTCTTTCAGTCATATGATCGACAAGTTGATGGAGAAATGTTCTTTATGTAAGTGTGAGAACAAAACTAAATGTGTCTCAAAAGATTGGTGATCTGTAAATAGCTATAAGTGAATTGAATGTGCATGTATGTTAGTATGAGAAAGGTCCTAAACTTCAACATGAGGGTTTGGAGTCACTGTACTGAGAACTGTCTGCCCAGAAGCGATGTGTATTTCTTCAAATGGCAAGGACCTGTTCCCAGTTTTGCTAAGTTGTGGCCAGAGATCTCGTTGAAATTCTTAGTTTATGATTAATATTCACCTCTAGTCTCCTTACTCTTACCAAATTTGTGTCATTTTCTGTAACAACTTTGAGCCCTTGGAGAGAACCAATGAACTCTATGTTTAGAAACTTCAGCTTTCTTGGTATGAAATGGCAACTTCACGTTTCTCCATCTAACTTGACTTTTCTTTTGGCAATTGGCAAATATTTGTCACAGTCATTCTAGCAAATCATTTCTCCATGGGCCTTTTACTGGTCCTAAGTTTCTTTAAGGACAGTATGCAAAGATAGTTGTAAGATATTGGTGGGGGGGGGAAACTTGAAGCTATGCTAGAACATTAGTTCTCTAGGAAGAAGTGTTTGCTCTGAACCCCATGAAAGATGAGGTCAGATTCAAACGTTGCTAGAGGCTTTAGAAGGCTTGTCATCTTTTTGGTTTTATAAGTGATCTAACCCATTCCTTTCAGTATGTGTGGGGTGGGGTAAATATCTACTAAATAGTCAAATTTTGCTTTAGACTCACAATAATTACACGTGAGACATGGTAGAGTTGATCTGCACAACTGAGTCTTTTGGACAAGAGCATGAGGGAGCCTTGTAGTGCAAGGCTCTGCTCGCTTGACATTGGGGCAGCAGCAATCCCCAGAGAGAATGGTTAAACTTCAGCTTTGAGCAGGTCCTCAGGAGCAGCAGACAAACCACAACTGCCCGGCCTGCACCTGTGCAAGGCTAAAATGTTTTTTTCAGTACTGACTTTGACTGTACAGACCTGGCTATTTACAATTGGATTTATAATGGGAAGAAGGTCACTCCACTTAGTAGATAAGAGATACCTGTACAAGGAAGATTGTATCCATGCCACTTGGTATCACACTGAAATCTGCCCATTGTCTTCTCATTTATATGCTTTTCTAAAATTAAAAACAAAAACAAACAAAAAACCCAACAAAAAACCAAAAACAAAACGAACAAACAAACAAACAAAAACAAAACAACAACAAAACAACAACAAACAACAACAACAACAAAAAACCAACCAACCAACCAAAACCAAAAAAACCCCCAAACTCCAAAGCTGTAAAACATTCAATGCTAGGATATAAATTATTCTCAGGCATTTATCAAAACAAAGCAAAACAGAGTTCACTGAGCCTTGATTTTTTTTTGTGAAGTTATACTTTCCTGGACACTCATAACTGTGACTGCTTTTACAAGCAAAGGCCAATAGTGGGATTTCACCATAGATTTAAAAAAATAATTGCACTAGCGATAGTATGATGTAGCTTCATTGCAGTCCAGAGCGCTTATTAGGATGTGGCAGGCTCTCTAGGACAAAAAGTTTTGAATGTTGGAGAGAAAGCAGTTGCTAAAGAAGTCGTTACACTTCTAGTTGAGGGGTTTGATTTCATTTGGTAATTAAGATGGAAGAATGTCCTATATTGGAAATAACTTTTAAAGCAGACTGAATATGAACCTGTACTAGCTGGGAAGCTAGCCATTTACTAGATGTTTAGTGTGTTAGAAAAGGGAAATGATGTAATGGGAAACTGGAGGCTGTGCTGTATTAAGACAAATACAGTCACTTTCCACTCCAAACAGAAATTCTCTGGAGCTTGGCATCTTAAAATACTTAATTATATTATCTATTTGAGTGACTGTTGGTTCCTTGCACTCAAGAACTTTCTGGTCTGTCAGCTCGGAATGTTTTTATCAACATAAAGAGCTATACAAGGGGCTTGGCAAAGTGGGCTACTACCTTGTTCCTAACAGTGCTGTAAGGGGAGGGGAGAGCGGTGATGTTTCTTTTATCCTTTTTTTATATTTTTATTTTTCCCCCTCTTGCATCAGACCTGACTCAGTTCTGACTGAGGGCTCCTTGTGGGGACTGCCACAGCCCCTCCTATTTCCCCTGCCAGTGTATCAGACCCATTTATCAGACGTTTCAGCCGACTGCTGCCTGCTAGATGAAGTCCCAAAGTCTGGGAAGCAACAAGTGCCTGTGAAGGACAGCCCGTTCTTTTCTGTGGAAAGCTCTGTCCTTGAAAAAGACTTGAACTTGATGCTTGATATTCACAAGCATCTGTTGAGCTTCTGGCAACTTGTTTGCTGTACTGTTTTTCTGTGAAGATACCCTCCTACTGGTGATGACATCTGTCAGCAGGAGGGGAGAGAGAAAAGCTGTTACAGTTAATTCTTTTACCAAGTTCCATGCAAATACATCTTCATTCCGTCTTAAAAGATGCTTTGAATTTTACCTTCCACATGGAACAACAAGTCTTCTAAGATCTTTACGCTCAGAGTATACTCTTCAGGAAGTAAATCCTGCAGAAAGCTCCCCACTCTAGTTGAACTGACATTTTGTAGTCATCATGATGTCCATACAGAAGAAAGTTAACAGAACCTGTCTGACGCCTGCTACAAGACTCCTGAGGCAGAAACCCAAAGCTCTAGAGGCAACCTGTGTTGTGGTTATTTAAGGAAATAAACTGAGACAGTGTGGGGGTAAAAAGGGAAATTAAGATCTTCCCTTGCTACAGGTCTCTGCATGCCTTGGTGGTAAAAGCACTCTTCTAAGAATTAAGGGAAAGGTTAAGTTTTGTCCTTTCCCCCAGCAGAAAGGTGACCAAATTGCTTATAATCAGGGTGTCTGTTCTAACATGTAGTAGAGTGCAAGTTATGTTTTGTGTATATGGGGGACTTTGTGTATCCTGATAAGGCTTTGATGAGTACCAGGCTGTTCTGCCTTGTTAAGACCTAAAGTGCTTCTGCAAAAGCAGGACAGTGGGTGCTTAAGTGACTTTAGGTCCCTCTTGCCCAGGGAGCCATTGCACAGCAACACTGAGGAGCTTTGAATGCACACGCTTAGATCTGAAATGGAACAGGGATTTGGGAACTGGAACTGCAGCATCATTCTAGAGGTAATTAAACTATGCCAGAAATTCAGGGTTTGTGTTGGATTTTTTTATTTTGCTTTTTATCAACCATCTCTGAAACTTGAAAGCTTTCTCCTCTTGTATGTACCTTGAAACAAGTCTTGATTGTTCAAACAACCTTTACACCTTATTTTTGTCTGAGCCCAGAAATTGATCATTCTCATGCGTATGCTTTTGGAAGTTTTGAACAAGAAGTGTGCTCTGA